TTATTAGTTTATTAATGTAAGTGTGTTTTTATCCCAGCTCATAGGGAGAAGACAATAGAGGGTGATATCATCAATGGAAACTGCAGAAAAGTAGGTATCTCATCTCTAGGCAGTGCTTTATTGAATGTATACGCAATAATATTTATACGATTGCTTTGCTATTGATCATTAAAGCAACAGTTGCTACATTGTGCCCTTAACATATGCAGTTTTTGCACTTAAGCTTGTTGTTAATTGATCATAACAGGATGAAGCAAATTTCCCTTCTGTTATATGGGTCTCAAGGTCAGAGAGAGTGTGGAAATGAGCATGAAAAATGAAAATGACTATTTTTGGCACAAAGAAAAACTTTAGTAACATTTTAGTGGGGGAAAAAAAATTTTTTTTATCGTTTAATCTTAATTTTTACGGATGATTTTCATATTGACAATTTAGTGGTTATTATTTAAATAATTATTTGTAATTTAGAGCTAATTTGAGTGAATTTTGAATGTTGGGCTAAACATATTCTACCAAACCAACTTTGTCTGTGGTATTTGGGATTTAATAAAATTAGTTTGAACATATTTGCAGGACACTAATGCAGAGTTGTTTATATTTGCAGGGAGAGATACACTTACAGAATGACGGCAGCAGACACCCGTCTGTCTCTGATGAAGAGGAGAACTTTGCTGTGCTTAGACGGTCAGTCAGGAGCTTATTACAAATGGATTTAGAGGAAAATCAGCTATAATTGTGTCAGTTCTCTACAGATTATGTGTTTAATGTCCATCCACTACAGGCATGTGATGAACGAGCTGCTGGAGACTGAGCGAGCCTATGTGGAGGAGCTGCTGTGTGTGCTGGAGGTGAGTTGCACTGACACCTATCACCTCTAGAGGTCAGATCAGTCCTGTTTATGTTTTGAGATTTTTTTTAGTACATTTGACTTGACAGATTAATTTGTGTTTAGGGTTATGGAGCAGAAATGGACAATCCTGCCATGGCTCATCTCATCCCCAATACACTGCTTCACAAGAAGGACATCCTCTTTGGCAACATGCCTGAGATATACCAGTTCCACAAGAAGTGAGTGAACCCTCCCTGTGTCTGTTTTAGCTTCCGCTGGTGTAGTGTTATAAAGCTAAAGCGCCTCTTATTTTCCATATATTTACTCTCCAGGACTTTTCTTCGTGAGCTGGAGGCATACACAGACTATCCTGAGCTTGTGGGCCGGTGTTTCTTAGAGAGAGTGAGTCAGATTTTACATATTGTGCGGTTTTGATTTAATACATTATTGAATGGATTATGCAAACATCTTTTTCATGTTTCTCAGATGACGGATCTGCAGATCTATGAGAAGTACTGTCAGAACAAGCCTCGCTCTGAGTCTCTATGGAGACAGTGCTCTGACTGCGCTTTCTTTCAGGTCCTCTTACTTTACAAGACACTAGAGATGCTCTCAGACATTACATATAAGCACATATTTCTTTCTGTAATTTAAAGGAATCATATTATAGGGGATCATATATATATACCTGGTATACACTACCATTCAAAAGTTTGGAGTCAGTATAATTTTTTTTAAATATTTTTGGAAGTAGACTCTTATTCTCACCAAGGCTGTATTTATTTGATCAAAAATACAGTAGAAACAGTAATATTGTGAAATACTGTATTACCATTTAAAAGTACTGTTTTCTGTTTTAATATATTTTAAAAAGTGATTTATTCTTGTGATGGCAAAGCTTAATTTTCAGCAGCCATTACTCCAGTCTTC